GTACGAGTGAAGTACAAGTGGAGTACGGTGAAGTACGAGTGAAGTACGGCGAAGTACGAGCGAAGTACAATGAAGTACAAGTGAAGTACAAGCAGGGCTGCCAAATCTCCTGATTTAGCCAGGAGACTCCTGATTTTTAGACTTTTCTCCTGGTGAAAAAATCTCCTGAATCCAGGCGCTGATTTTTATGATTTTCTCCTAATTTTTTAAAGGATTTTGTCACGTTTAATTGTAGTGATATTTTGAATCAATAAGACAAAGAAAAAGAGAACTATCACACTATTTCATAGATGCAATAGACAATAAGAAAACACGTCGTTTCTGCTTGTTAGGCTTGATAACATGCGTTTATTTGTGAGCTTATCTTCTTGACGGTTAAAATGTATCTCATGCACAAAAACTAGTTTAGTTCGCTTTTTCTATATCAACCTAGAATGCTATTTGTGAATTGACCTTCAGCCACATGACATTTTTGTGGGCTCCTAATAGAAACGATTTGAAGTGCAATCTTATTGGTGCATAATTAGGAACTAAATGAATAATCATCTCAGTTATACAAAGTTCTATAATTATCTTTTAAATAATTCAAACCTATTGAAACAAATTCAGTCTTGAGAAAAATATGGCCATGTTCATAGGTGGCGAAATGTTTTGGATCTAGGGTAGGCTTAACAATTTTTTACAAGATTCGCACCAGAAAATTAAAAATATGGAGTAAGCCAATTTTTTTGATGCCATCTTGATGAAACAAGGTTAGTATTTCTCATTTCGAACTCGTATTTTGTAATGTATGACGCTGATAGAGATAAGAAAAGCATTTGCAACTTATGTGTCAAAAAACGTGCATTGAAGAAAACATGTCGATGATTATCTTCATTGACTTTCAACTCTCACAAGAATTGCTTTCCATCTGCTGTGCTAAAAAATAAAATAATGTCCAAGCAACAATGTTCACAAAAACGACATTACATTATGAATGTTTTTATTGTGTTGAAAAGATATTTTTTCTGCGGGAATATTTTTCTATACTCGTCGTTTTCTTGCTCCATTTCTTATGGCAATGGGAACTCCATTAAGTATTGGTGTTCCCGCATTTTTTCTCGTATTTACCTACATATTTGGATACATATATGTAGCAGCGTTTTATTTTTACGTAACTAACCTACTGTAGCTCCAATCATAATTATATTTTTAATTTCAAGTCGTGTCACGGTTATCTTAAAATCTAAAAATAAAACAGGAATATGAATCCCTGATGTCTTACGATTAGAAGTGTAAATCGCCGAGCTGAGTCGCCGCTGTCGGTGGGACAAAAAAACTAACAGTTTTGAAGATTTTTCGACGCCTGAGACCACTCTTCAACGATGTTTCTGTCTAGGTTTTTTATCAATGTGTTCTCTGCCATTGTTTTCTCTTTTTTCATCCGATAATTTCTCGGAAATAAGAAAACCTTAAAGAAATCGTCCGACAAATTCACTCGCCTTCGCCGACAGACTAAAAAAGTTGAGTATTTTCAATCGCTACCGAAATAAAAAAAAATAAAATCACACTTACACACCACCGATCTATGAACTGGTTTACGCTTCTGCTTACGGAAGTGAAAATAAATTTTTTTCTGGGAATAAGAGTGTAAGAACAAGAATAACAATTTTTTTCCGAGAAAGACAGTGTAAGAACAAGAACAACAACTTTTTCCCGAGAAAGACAGTGTAAGAACAAGATAACAATTTTTTTTCGAGAAAGAGAATATACGGACGAGAATAGCAAATTTTTTCTGAGAACAGAAAGAATAATCGAGAAAAGTTGCTCTCATAACACTAATGATCGGGTAATGTAAACTTAGCCGCTAAAAATGATGAAAGTCTTTGGCAGCTACTAGCTGATATGGTTCAGGTTTTTTTATGCAGTACTTCGTCACTTTTAACGAAAGAACCTCACTTTAAATCATGGCTGACCCAAAATTTGACATTTATCCACACAAAACTAAAAGTTTTCTCAAAAACAGTTTCTAGGTCTGGTTCAATAAATGTTACTATTTGTTGTCGATAGCGACAAAAAGTCTTGACGTCTGTTCAAATTTTTTATGTACTGCACAAACCTATCAATTTAACGTAGTAGAAAACAATTATTTGAGCGTACCATAGTCTATGGAATCTGAACCTAAGATAGGTTTTAGTCTACTCAAGCCGTGTGATTCCATCATCTACGAATAGACGCTATCTAAGCCTTTATTTATTCCATCCACGAGTCTGTCTAAGCCTTTAGCTGTCCAACCTAGAGTAGGCTCGAGCATACTCAGGACTTGTGACCCCTTCGTTCATGGTCATGTTACAAAAGTGACATGAACGATATAGTTAATAAATTATTGTTCATGTATGCCTATTTTGTTTAGTTACATATTAATGTCTAATTAAACTTCATTTTCTATTTTGTCGGTATATTTTGATAAACCACTGTGAAATGAATAGTAAAATAAATTCCACATAATTATGTTTTTTTAAGAATATATATCACTTAGAGGAAATTTTGTCATCAGTAACTTAGTAGAAGAACATAACGAGTGATTAGACGAACGAAAACTTCAGTTTTCTTTGAGAGAAGACCACTAATTCATTTTCTGATTTCAATAAACATCTTCTTATTTTTCTCCTGATTTTTCAGTAAAAATTCCCTGGTGAACTCCTGATTTTTCGCAAAAAACTCCTGATTTTTGAAATTTGTATTTGGCAGCCCTGTTATCGAGGATGCTCTATCGATTGATGGGTATATGTATGGGCTCCTACCCAGTGAAACACAGCGAAAATACAGCCTTGGCATTTGTCCTTGAGGATCCAAGAGTACCCCCAATAATAGGACTTGAGGATCCATGGGTATCCCCCAATAATAAGACTTGAGAACCCAAGAGTATCCCCCAATAATAGGACTTGAAGATTCAAGGGCATCCCCCAATAATAGGACTTGAAGGCCAAAGGGCATCCCCCAATAATACGACTTGAGGGCCAAAGGATACCCCCCGAGTAATACGACTTGAGGACCAAAGGGTACCCCTAATAATAGGACTTGAGGACCCAAGGGTATCCCCTAATAATAGGACTTGAGGACCCAAGGGTATCTCCCAGTAATAGGACTTGAGGACCTATGGGCACCCCTATAGGGTACCCCTCGAGAACTTATGAGTATCCCTTGAAATAGTTAGGTTCGTTTGAATGGGCTGTTCGAAGAGTTCGGCTCATTTGAAATGAGCTGTTTCAAAAGCTCGGTTCGTTCAAATGAGCTGTTCTAACAGTTCAGCTCATGTGCGATGAGCTGTTTGAGAAAGGTCAGTTCGCTCAAATGAACTGTTCGAATAGTTCAGTTCGTCTCAGTGAGCGTTTTCAACGGCTCATTATTTGTGAGCTTGAGTTGAGCTTGCGTACCCCTACTCATTTCATCTCTTCATTGGTTCATCTTTGCTCTTGTGTTAGGTAGAAAATGAGAGTTTTTTAGGCACTTGCTGGATTTCTATGTAGACGCTATTATCCTACTTTAAACTTGCAATGTTTTCAATTATCAGAATATATAGAAGGAACTTTCGTAGCACATTGCAGCAAATGAAAAAAAAGCAATTTCGAACAACTCCTTTATATACAGTGACCAGAGAGAGTGGATTTTTTCTCAGCAAAAAAGCGTTTTTGTTTGAAAGGATGAGCGTGGAACATGTTTTTATAGTTTCAACTCAATGAAAAACAACTATCACATAAGAGGCAACTAAGAGACTCAAAAGAAAAAAAAATAACAATTTTACAATTGCGACTGTAAAATAGAGGAAAGAATGAAACGTATGGTGAGGCTTTGCATGTGGATAAATATCAATGAATTTCATTTCGCTTCAATATTTAAATTACGACACAAAACAGAGACGGTTTCATATCTCAATAAAAATCTTAGGCAACTCGATGAGAATAAATTTGAATTGATTACGCTATCACTACTAATATAGAAAATTTTATTCATAGCGGTACTTTTGTAGTTCGAGTTATCCAACGACTACTCTCTGATGAGCTTTTATTTCATATAGAGAGTAACTACAAACAACTAGAATTGTTTAAATTTGGCTTAATCAGAACAAAAATAAGTGTCTAATTGCAGCTATAAAATGTCTGCAGGTTTAGAATGTCTTTTTTCGTAGACACACTAAATATTAACATGTTCAAGTATTGCTTCATCGGAACTTGTTTTTTACGCGATTTTTGATAGAAAAGAATCTTCTTTGATTTTTTTGTTACCAGGGACGGTTTTGTAATTTAGCTAATTTCTATAAACAATATCAAAAACAACTTTGTTTCTTTTTTGTCGTTTTTTTCATTTTTCTCTAACGAAAGCAAAATGACGGCAACGATTCTTTCAATCACTCCACTGATTTACTGTTTCTGTTTGTATTTTTCAAGGCTTTCTCTTATCGTGACTACCAACGAGCAGATGTAACCGTTGTACAATGTTGTCGTTCCCATAGTGGGTATAGTTGGGTGTGGGTATGGGTGTGGGTGTGGGTGGGTGTGGGTGTGGGTGTGGGTATGGGTGTGGGTATGGGTGTGGGTGTGGGTGTGGGTGGGTGTGGGTGGGTGTGGGTGTAGGTGTGGAGTGTGGGCGAATGACATACTTTGACTCACACCCACACCCTCAAAGCATCACCTACAACATTCAATTGTACATGTAACAATGGTTGGCAAGATAATCATTGTGAATCAATGATGAATTATTGTGATTTTAAAAATGTGATATGTCAGAATAATGGCATTTGTCGACCATTATTACTGAATTATACATGTGAATATCTTGGTAATAATCATTATTCTGGTCGTCATTATGAAATAACATCGAAGAAAAGACTTATTTTTAAATTTATTTCAAAATCATTTTCTTATATTGTAATCATTGCTATGATTATTGTTGCAATGTTTGTTGTAATCATGGATATATTAAAATATTGTTTTGGAATTGATCCAGTCGCTGAAGAGCGACGAAGAATTCGACAAGAAAAACAAATGGCAAAACGAAAACGACCTGTTATTCAACAATTTGTTTATGTGAATGCACTATCAAAGCAATTAGCAACGAATATTCCTATTAAAACTATGAGAGAAACAATTGTTTAACAAAAAAAAAACAGACATTTCATGACTTGATCACCTATACTCATTTGTTTTCATCCGTTCGATAAATGTATTACTAAGATATACGTCAGTTCGATGCGAGCATTAAAAAGAGTTCTTATAATGAAGTGCTTTTATTCTCTTCTGTTGTTTTTTCATACGATGCAAAATAAGAAAAAAAATCGAAAAGAATCCGAGATGTGACAATCGGATCGTATTTCATGTGATTCTTTCTCAAATAAATTTATTTCTTATTGTGAAAGAATCATACAATTGCGAAATATCATTAAAGTTTGCGCTAACGTGAGACATAATGAAGAATAGGCAAGTGACTCTTTTACTTTTTGGATATCTGATCAGTTTATGGCATAGTACTTTTGCGAATGAACCGGCCAGTGCGACGAAAACATTTACATCTAGCCAAACACTCTTTGCTAATCCTGAACGAGGATGGATTACACATCGATTTTCGAATGATCTTTATGACGTTAATAGTCTGCGCGAAAGTGCCGAAAAAGTATCATTAGTTCTGATTAAAATAGACATATCAGCTTACAAGAATAGTGTACATATTGGACAGAGTAAACTCAATGAAATTCGTTCAGCACTCGATACTTGTCGTCAGCAAGGTTTAAAAGTTATCATGCGTTCAGCTTATTCTTGGAATTTAGTTCTTGCTCCAGAGCCGAAAAGCATTGAAACTGTTAAAACCCATATTATGGATATGAAACCAATTTATTATCAATATGAAGATATTATCGTTGCTGTCGAAATGGGTATGTTTGGTCCATGGGGTGAAATGCATTCATCATATTTTAGCACTACTAACACACAATTATATTATCCCATTAAAACTGCTGCACTTCAACAAGTTCACACCACCTACATGTCAGCATTACCAAATACACGTTCAGTCCTTCTTCGTACACCATATTATATTCGTCAAATCTTCAATAGTAATACACCTCTTTCATCTGCTGAAGCTTATACCGGCACTCCGAAAGCACGTACTGGTTATCACAATGATGCTTACCTTGCCAGCAGTGATGATGAAGGCACTTTTTCTTATGGATGGTCACGAGCTCAAGAGCTCGCTTATATTAGCCAAATGACGCGCTATGCTTTTTTTGGTGGTGAATCATTCGGTACTCCTAATAGTGCATATAATAAGGCTCAAAATGCCATGTTAGAATCGAAACAACAACATATGACATATCTTCATCGAGATTATTATAAACCGATTTATAATGCATGGGGTACTGCAGGAAAAGAAGAATTTACACGTAAACTGGGTTATCGTTTTCAATTAAAAACTCTTTCCTATTCAAAAGAAGTAGCACCCGGTGGAATACTATCTTTTTCTTTGAAAGTGCAAAATATTGGCTTTTCAGCAATGCATTTAACTAGACCTGTAAAATTAATACTTGATAATGGCAAAACAGGTAGTGCACGTATTACATACAACACGAATCTCAGTGTAGATCCTCGAAATTGGACACCTGAAGCGAATATTATCAGTATTGATCGTAAACTTCGTATTCCAGCAAATATCAGTCAGGGTGTTTGGCAATTACTTTTAATTTTACCTGATAATAATACACGTTTACAAAGTGATGTACGTTATACAGTTCGATTTGCCAATGAAAATATTTGGAATACTGATGGGACACATGTATTAACCAAAGATATTTCTATCCAAGCTTCAGCTTCTGGTTCACGTACTAAAGATAACGTATTTCAAGAGGTTACGATTTAAAATAAGTAACGGTTATTTCTCTGAATGACTTTATAATTATCTTTCATGATAAACATTGATCAAGATTATATACTTTATTTTTCGCTATTTTTCTTGTGCGTGTGTGTGTGTTGGAATGTTTATGAAGAAAAGATACCCATATCCACCCTACATTCAATAAAATCAATAATAATAGAAGTTTTTGACCCTTGTATAAATACATCTGAGTTACACTTTCATCTTGAGGGTGTGAGGGTGGGATGAAGAAGAAAGACACTCACATCCACATCGTCTGTATTGAGGAATCTTAGATAACTGATATTTAGAATATAAATAGCTCACTATGACCTACAAACGCTGAAAGTTTCATAGAATTCGGAAATGGTCGATGTTAATGTGGTTATAAATTCATGGATTGACTCAGCACTGTACGGGAAAATTTCGCCAAAAAGATACTATTTATTCTAACAGAACATATCCTATTATCCATATTATTTATGTTAAAAACGTCACTTTTCTAACTCTAGTCATTGTTGAGAAAATAAGAATTTAAGACGAAGATATCTCCAAAATTCCTTATACATTTGAACAGAAGCCTTGGAATTACATAGAATAGTTGTGGCTTGGATGCAATGTCTACTAGGCTTTTCGTCCTATTCTGTAATGTGCACTGAGTCTAAATAATATACTCAGGTCGAATCCTTCCGGTCGTGCACCAATATGGGTTAGCTATTCAACGATATGGATCGGAAAAAAAAATATTAATATTTTCATACAAGTCTTGATTACATAAAACATTTTCTGAGTGCCTCAAGCCACTCACAACAATGATTTTTCCACACTAATAGAATATTTTCTTGATAAGATAGTAGCTGTAACGTTAATTAGATACCGTAATTGTTCGAAATATTGAGAAGCGAATTTTAGTTCATATATCTCAAGAGATATTTGTATTATCAAATAAATCAACTGTCTACTAAGAACTTCTTGCTTACAAGTTATACTTCGTATATAAACAAATTAATTGTATCGCATGTAAGAAAAAGTCTTTTTTCCCCGATGGTAAGTTCAAGATGAAGAAAGTTCATTTATTCTGATCCACTTGTTAGAAGAACAGATAATCATGACAATACCATTTTTAAATCAATTAAAACACTTCTTTTATATAGAGATTCGTGACATTATCGTTTTACTGAGTACTTTTTGTTTTAATTACTGTAAATTGGAAACTTTCAAGCGTATTCTTCATTCAACATTTTTCTTTCATATCATAAAAATTCTTTATTAGGTTTAACGTGTCGCTGTATTACACATATTAGAAAGTAAATTTATTTGAAATTAGAATATAATCACTGAATAATACAACATCATCACTATCTAATGAATATGATTTAGGTCAGGCAGCTAGGATATCTATTACTTATAGTTTTCCTACCACAACGAAACTTATAGTGATTACAAATATATTAAATTTTAGTATACTCTGTCGTCGAACTCGTCGATTATCTTCTTGCATATACTATTTTCTTGCTTCTATTCCACCCATTTTTTCATACATAATCGTTTCACCTATAAGTGCGATACTTCAATATAGTCAACGGTTCTATAGGATAATTATAGATGTAATGAAAGATGCTTGCACGACAGCACACTATATGTAATCGTGCCTGGCTTTTATCTTTACCGATACTCATATACTATGACCCTGTATGACTACAGAAGAACTCAAACGCACATATAAAGGTTAAAGATGTGTTATATATATCCATAGAATTATTACTAAAAAGATTCTCTGTCGATATGTAAGAATTTAAATTTGTTGTCTATATGCACAGAAATGTCGTCGTCCTTAAAAGTTTAACAATAGCATATATATATAGGAAATATTCACGCAAAGTATTTGTATTTTTTTCATCTCTTGGATCTTAATAGAATATAAGATATAAAATGAAACAATAGTCTGTGTTATAGTTTAAATCAATGCATAACTAGCCAATGTTGCAATACCACATTGATTATTTTTATTTCTTGCCAGCCAAGCATAACCATCCATTCCCCACTGTGTTGAATGTTGATTTTTCAAAATATAATAATCTTGATTATCTACTGTTGTACTATATCCAACAGCCAAAAGTGAAAAATCTATCACTGTTGATGAACAAGCTGGATCAGAGTAAACACCTGATGAATAAAATTGAAATGAATTGAGGCTTGCATCCATTGCAACAGCTATTGGACCAATTGTTGCAAGAGCATCTTGAAGATCATCTTCTGATCCAGGTTTGATATCAACATAACTCTTCAAGAGAAACCCAAAGACTTTAATTTAAATTTGATTAAAAATTCAACTTACCATAACATCCGTTGCAACGGTTTTAGGATTAAATCGACATTTTCCCATGACACCTTCATAAGGATAACTATCATTTGTATCAATTCCATGATTATCGATAAGATATTTATATGCATTATCCATGTAACCTCCGTTACAACCCAAATTTCCATAATTTATTGAACAATCAACTAGTTGTTGTTCAGATAAAGCAACAAGTTTTTTAGTTTTCTTTGCAAGTTGCCCTTCAAGTGTACCAGTGGTAGAGAAAGCCCAACATGATCCACAATGCTCTTGATTTTTTACAGGTGTAACATATCCTTTTGTACGCCAATCTAAATAATCACATCAATGATGCGTTCATTTCGATGAAAATGTAACTTCTTTTACCAACAGATGCTGGACGTTTTATATTTGATGGAATATGAAATTTTTGATTTGGTTTCTTTTCAGGATTGATTTGTAATTGATTCATTTGTTTAACAAATTCATTGTTTGTCTAAAATGATTCAAAGAAGATGAATTCTAAATTTAAACGAACTGATGAAGACGAACAAGATCAGCAAATTGATTAACTTTCATTGTAAATGTATGAAGACCTAAATCAGCTTCTAAATTATGTTTTTGAATCATTTGAACATTTTCTTCCCAAATATTTCGTCTAAAGAGAAAAATAAATCGTATTATTCATTCAAATGTCTTGTTCTTCATACCGAAGTTGTTCTTCATCGATTGAATTATATTGTTTTTTATGAAGATTTTTAAATAATTTCCATCCTTCATCTAATGATGATGTTCGATGACTCAAACAAGAGCTTAGAAATAAATTGAAAGTGATGAATAAAAAAAGTATATTCTTCATTTTGATTCTGTTTTAACTAAATTTCTCATAGTCCACCTTGTTTTAATACTCAAATTTTCTTTTGTCATATCGTAATAAGAATGATAATGCATTTTAGATAAGGATGAATAATTTTTTGATAAAATCTTTCTCATACAATAAATAAACATAGACAGCCCATATGCTACGAACCGCATAAAAACCGACGGTTAACCGGTAGTAAACCAGTCGTAGAACTGAAGAGTATACCGCCAAATAACTGCTGGTTTACTGACTGTATAATGGTAAGATAGATTTATACAAAAACTACTGAATATTTTTAAAGTCTGTTAAAACTGACAAATTCTAGTCGATTTCGTGGTTCCATAATAATGTCGACGTGCTTGAGCCGCCTGAACTAGCCACAGAGCCGAGATCGGTTCACATAACTAGATATATAGTTTTTAAAATTTAATTATAGATGGCGCTGCAAAAATCTTTTATTGTGAAATAAATTATGGGAGCAGTTCTTTCTGAGATGTTTTGAATTCTTTGCATTAAATATTTCGAATTGGAGCAGAAAAGCATACTCTAGTATCATTTATAGCTAGAACCGGGCATTATTGCATGTACCGGCGATATTAACGAAAACTGCGTATTACCGCCGATATCTTCCAAAAAGTGATGACATGGGAGGTTCTTATCTATTCTATTGTTTTTCTCCTCGATATTAAAATATAAATTAGTTTTCTCAATACTCGAGTTTCTTGTCAATAAATTGATTAGAGGTGAGGGATGGACCATTTGCCTACTTCAGAGGGAAACTGTTCCACTTGCAGCAGAAATGGTTTAACCTCAAAAAGTCAAGTAGAAATTGTTTTCTCAACATCAAATTCACCTTCCATACAAATTAACATTTTACTATATACCATAAGAAACGGTTATTTTTTAAGGGGAAATCCTTCGTCCATATTTCCACTTATAAAGAGAAATGGAAGTAAAACAGAGAGAAATTGGTTTCAGTTGACGAGGGTTATATGGACATTACGTGTTAGCTTAGAGATAGGTATGATAAGTTATTGTTATGTGATGAATATAATTAAAAATAACTTTTGTGATACTAAAAGTTTTTTATGCTATTCTAAAGGAATTGTAGTCGTAGAGAATAGAAAGTGATTGTGGAATAATGAACAAACGCAAGTGATATGCTTGCAGATCAGTGCACAGTGAAATTCAAACTTTTCAGAAAAAAATGTTTGTTTTTGTTATAAATAACAAATAATAACAACGCAAAATTCAGACCCCTACTTACAAATAGTAATTGGCTAGAACTGGCAACTCGTTATCATTCGATGGAAGGTACGATAAACGCTGTTCTTGTCTATTATTCATCTGATAATTAAGAAGAAAGCAAAATTTATTTACTTGAAGTGAAATATCAAACTAGTCTTATTTTTTGCACGGTGTCAATTACTTTGTAGGCATCGCGACATGCTCTAATCATTTCATTTTGAAAGAAGAATCATTTTCCTTGGAAAGAAAATACTTTTCTGTATAAATTCAGTTATATGTGCCATATCATGTAATAGATATATGTATACGTGTACGTATGTATATTTTTTTCTTTCCATTTCTGCTTCTGAAATGATTTCTCTTTGAAAGAAAAACCATTTCTTCCTATATTTAAGCATATGTGCAATATCACATAGTAGATTATACGTATTTGCGTATATATATATATATATGTATATGTATAGTTCTTTCTTTCCATTTCTCCTTGATATGTACGATTTTATGTGGGGTGAACCATTTCTCCATAAACGGGAACAATTTCCCCAACGACTGGGTACAATTGTCCACTACTGTTTATTCTCCATTCAGGATTTTATTTCAAAGAAATGTCAGACTGAATCAGATTATGTCCGTCCAAAAATAACCATAATTTGATTTTCAGTCAAAAATGACATTCTTAAATAAATATATTTTGTGGAACTCACATAAATTTTCCGAAGAATGTAAGTTTTAATTCGAAGTTTTGCCCCTCCTCCCATTACAGGCAAATTTAGAGTTAAATTTTTGATATCAGCAAAGTACACATATAAAAAGTTTTTTGAAGATAAAGTTTATATGTGTTCCACATTTTAGCGCCAAAGAGGTTACGCTGACAAACTTTTTTACTGAAATTAAACAGAATGAAAAATACAAAGTAAAATGATTTCATAAGATTATCTTTAGGAGATTTTAATTCATCATAATTTTGATTTTCTCGCACAAAAATCCGATTATTATCTGACACAATAAAAAAAAAAATTTTTCAGTGGAATTACATTTCAATAACAGGTAAAATCAAAAAGTAGTACTAAATGATGAATAGTGAAAAAATTATCTTTTAATTTGCTATATGAAGTAATTCGTTGCAAAGATGAGCCTAGACCAGAAGGATAAAATGTCAAACGTATCCATTAGTTTGAGTATCATAGAAAAGAAGATTTTCTTTATCATATACATTTTTCATAGAATTTTGTAGACAATCGCTATATCATTGGTATATGTTAGTCAGCAATTGACGATTTATCTGGGTTTATGTTTGTTTATTATTGGAGATTTTTGGTAATGGAATGAATATTTATATATTTTCAAGTGTTCGTTCTTATCGTATTACACCTGCTACATTCTATTTTCTAGTTGAATCAATGGCTAAAACTGCCTTTTAAACAATTAATCTTTTACCTTGTGTAGTTACTTTTTGTTTTGGATTTGATTTAACTCGTACATCATTAGTCTGGTATAGATTAAGACAGGCTTTACTCATTGCATCGAATACAATAGCAGTTACTTGTACATGTTTAGCTACAATAGATCAATTTCTTGTCACATCTTCTAATCTATCAATACAACAGATTAGTAATATTCAACGAGCATATAAAATTATTTTTATCATTATCATTCTTTGACTCCTTCATTCACTTATTGTTTATTTTAACATGATTATTTCCTCAGTTACCAGTACATGTGTTGCCAGTAGTCCTGGAACTTCTCTTTATGCTACAATATTTTTCATTTTTATTGTTAATGTTATTCCAATAACAATAACGACAATATTTGGATATTTAACGTATCGTAATTCTTGCTGGACAACAAGCTGATCGACAATTAGTTAAAATGGTTCTTCTACAAGTCATACTAATTATCATTTCTAATACGCCTCTTGGTGGACTCTATACATATATATATTGATTACAACTGGAATTATCAAAAGTCAAGAACAACAATTACAAGAATATTCTGTCTTATTACTCATCAATCTTATAGGATCGATATATTTTATTGAGAATATTTCATAAAGAAATATTTTCGATTATCTTGAAGAAAGTTCTTATACATTTTTGATTTCATCAAGTCGTTTTCGTCAAACTGTGAAAGAACGATTATTTCGATGGTGACCTTCAAATCAACTTCCGCCATCTCTAACTTGATGATAGAAATATCAGTATTAGAGAAAAAGAAACGTATTTCACCTCAATTGTCATGTTATTCGAAATTAAACAGCAAAATTTGCTGTTTAAATATAAGTAAATTTTGTAACGTCGGAATAAATAAAAAAAACAGATGAATATTTCATTCAACGAAGAATTGTATAAATGTGAGTGTTCAATCTCTCACAGTCACCATTAATCATATGTAAATACTAAAAATAAAATAATAAATTATGAAAGTTTCAAAGAAGATGAATGAATAACATTGTACAATAAGTAAATATGAATGTCATATTCCAATCACCTTTATCCTGCACTTTTCATCCTCGAGATATTAATAGTAATATTATTAAGACAATGATAAAAACATATTCTATATAAATATTCTCAAAGAGAATTAAAAAGTGTTCATATTTTAAGCATTCAAGTGAAAATGCTGAAATGATTGATTATCCTATCCATTCACAAGAATTATATAAAAAGCCTCAATGTTTTATGCTTATGACGTTATATTTGGCAATTAGATTTAAGAAAACAAACTTTTCTATCCTCGTTCATTTGACGTTGGATATTCTATGAAGATATTTTCTGTATTTATGTAAATGTTGTAATGTCAGTATCAAAAAAACAAATGAATATATTTCATTGCAAAAAGAATAGTATGGATGTCAATATTCAATCTCTCACATTCACTATTCATCATATCTAAACTGAAAATAATAAATAACGCTTCTCGAGGCCACTCGCTTAACTCTCGACTGATTTTCCTGCCATTCCTATGTCTTTGCAAAGTGTTTCGGATCGTATGTATATCAAAGCGTCCATCTCATGACTGTTCGATGTTGTACATTGTATGTACAACTTAGTAGAAAGCCTACTTCTCTTCCTCTCCAAGACCTCACAAACAATCAAACTACTTTGACAGACTCACATAATAAAGGCGAGATTATTCGATGACAGTATTTGTATCTAGTCGTATAAAGAGATTTAACAAATATGCAACACAATACCAACTGTTAAAAAGGTACAAGTCATTTGGAAGATTCAGGTTTCGGGATGAATTCCACGTTTCAATCACTTACTCATACCGCACTTCCAATGTGAAACTATACGACTGACTAATTTTTAGGTAGCTCGCGCATCTGTGGTCAGTTTTATGACCCTCGATATCTGATTGATCATGAAATAGTGAGTAGATAGGGTATCTAACACTTTTCGTTGTTTGACCTTTGACCCTGACACAAACAAACAAACATTAGAAAATAAAAAACAAATTAAGAAAATAGTTTATAGTTTATGACCATAAAGTTTATTCATCTAATTCTTTGTCAAGATTTGTCAACCAATTTTTTATAATTACATTAATTTCAAAAAATGATGCTAAATGACCTCCATCAAGTATTTGAAGTTCTGCATTTGGATAACTTTCGACTAAATATGTTGACATTTCCATATGAGCTATTTTATCTCCTTTTCCGGCTATAATCAATACTTTTCGTTTTGGTGATGATGGAAGGTTTTTCGGATCAAAACCCCAATCCGAATGTAAAATATATGCAACAGTATTGAATCCATCCATTGTTTTTGACATACTTAAACACATATTTCTTGCCATAGTTTCAAGAATCCATCCTGATGGATGATTTCTCTCTTCTTCCCATTTATGTAATTTAGCTTTTTCTTCATCATTCATTTGATTAAATATATTTTCTCGCAAAAAAATCTTCGCTTCATCAATATTACGAACTTTTTTTTTGATAAATGATCCCATTAATCTTCTAATAGAAGGAAAATAAATAGCTGGTATACCGACCGCAAAATAATTTAACCAACTCATTCCAGTTGTATATTCTTTATGATATTTAAATGGAGAAAAACTAGAGCAAAGAATTAATGATTTAACATTGGCAACTTCAGGCATTATATCAGGAGATGCACCAAAACATATTTGAGCAAAAACAGTTCCATAACTGCCACCTCCAACAGTAATTTTAAGATTTTTATTATCATTTTTCTTCATAGATAATAATAGTTGATGAATATCATTAGGATAATTTAAAATTGGTTGATTTTCTGGCCATGGTGAACTATTACCCCAACCAGGAAGTGTAGGAGCAATAAAATGATATTCAATTTCTTGGTAAAGCTTCGTCTCCATTGATGAATCTCCAACACCAAATACTCCATGAAAGAAGATAATTATTTTATTACTATTTATATCACCTTGTTCGGTATATGCTAATTGACGACCATCGGAAAGTGTTACATACTTTTCATCAGGAACTTGAAGATCGTTAGAGATTGATGATGCAACTGATTGGCTCATAATTGATTGATGTGAACAATTAGATGTAAAGAAAAGATGACCTAAATAGTCTTAATTCAACTAAAAAAGAATTTCATTTCTAATGCTTTATCTCTAGTTAGCTTTGTTATCAAATAGAATCTTATCCTCTAGTATCTTGTGTTCTTCTTTTTAATGTCGCATATAGAAATCTGCATGTAAATATGAGAACATTTAGAAATGAAAGAATGCACCTCTTTCGATTCGTTTAATGACAATTTTTTGCTCAGGTACGCTGTAGACCGAACGTGTATGCATCTTGCCATATATGAAATAAAGAAGATACACAATACACTTAAGCTCTAATATATAAAAAGCGTTTTTCTTTTCTATGACCTTTCATATATTTACATCCTCAGATAAAAAACGAGAGAGAAAACGAGTTTCATGTGCGTCAAACTGCATCAAAAAATAAAACAATTACTTACATTTTCTGTATTAGAAAGAAAAACAGAAATTTACAAATTTCAAAATTCTTTAAAATGAAACGGATGAGTCGTGGTAATATTGTTACCAGATAAAATACGCAGAAAATAGTTGTTTATTACGAGCAAATAATGAATCATAGAGAAATTGACACGTTGACATTCTTTTCTTTTTCTATACGTGTGTACGTACACGTATGAAGTAATACAGAAAAGAAAAAAGAAAAAGCTACGCACATTTTTCTGCATATAATAGATGTCATCACTTCTTCATCTACAATCTAATTTTTTACTTGTTCTCTTACATATCTATCTGTCTTCGCATCATGAGAGTGCCATCACAATCCTGGAGAAGGATAGCGAAAAGAGGGTGTGGGTGTGGGTGTGAGTATTCATTTTCTGTATACTCACACCCACACGCTTTCTAGAAAAAATCGATTAGTGTATAATTCTATTTTTCACATATCCCAAAATAATTTTGTAGCTCTGATATCAGGTTTGGACATGATTACAGTATTTATACAGAATATTGCGAATCTTTATTATATGAATGGCATATATCAAAAGAATTTAACGTAACTGTTTTCTTGTATCACAGATAAATTATTCTCTGATCCTAGAACTAAAACCAACTGGGTATTAGCAATGATCTCATTGAGAATAAAATGCCTCAAGTACACCAAAACCTCTCTATAGTGGACACCTTGCAGACTTTTCAAAAGTGTCCACTATAGAGAGGCTACGTTTTTTCTAAAACCAGCATTTTTACAAGGAACAGATTAGTTTTCTCGCTATCTGACGGGTGTTAGTGAATACAATAATTAGGCACTGCCAAAGTTACTTCTCTTTTTATCCTTTTTTTTTCTCAGAAAATTAACAACTATTAAAATATAGTAAAACTTTTCTTCCGTGAGCATCATTGAAACCTATCGAAAGTGCCCACCAAAGAACTAAATGACGGTATCCACTATAGGGAGCAGTGGCGTAGCCAGCCTTGGGCAATTGCCCAATAGCTTAAAAGTTATTGCCCAATGATACTTTGGAAACGATAGCAATTGCCCAAGACTAAAATCTTGATGTATGTGTGTTCAAAGACTTCGGTGATGTTACTTTAATAAATCGCTACCAAAACTTGGCAAATCGGAACTTTTTAAGTCACAAATTAGAACAAGTCAGTTAAATTTCGTCTCAAGTCAGTCAAGTCAGGTTAAAGTCTCTAAAAATTCTTTCGAAGTCAGTCAAACAAATTAAAAATGGCTTAACTTGTTTTTGACTTGATATTCCCAGCTCTACCGCTTCCTGTAGTAATTCAATCAAGTGATCGAGAAAACGACAATTCCTCATTAATAAGCATTGGTTTTCGTAATGGATAATACTTTCAAAAAAATGAAGCCCAATAGACTTTTAATTGCCCCAAATGGCCCAATCCTATAAGAAATTTATCAGGAAATGGCCAAAGATCCAAAAATTGCTGGCTACACCACTGAAGAATATATTTGTGAGATATTAGAGAAACCGAGTATGCTCGTCTCTAACTTGAAAGTAATAATTCATCTTTAAGAAGCATCGATTTTTGTGATAGAAATAAACACTAAAAATAATGGTGCCCAATAGATTTTAAATTGCCCAATATTGCCCAATCTTTAAAAAAAATTATCAGGAAATTGCCCAAGACACAAAAATTCCTGGCTACGCCACTGATAGGGAGGTTCATTTCCAGCAAAAAATTGATAGCTGGAACTTTGAAAAATGTCTACTATGTGGAGGTGTCCACTATGAGAGGTTTTGGTGTATTATCTTTTAAGATAAAACGGTTGAATACTCTGTCCTTTTTTCGTCATTAGTGTTTTCTATTGATTTCCTTTCACACAGTGACACGTAAAGATAATCTTTTTGGATCAATCGTATCCATCTGTCACTCTCACCTGAGCATCCTAAATCAAATACAATTATTTCATTGTATGTGGGTTGAAAAGAGTTGTTGTTAGGAGAATAAGATAAAAGAATTACTCGTGTTATTATAATGGTTGCGTAACTCACTCCTTTTCGGAGGAAATAAAAAAATATTCGTGGTAAGTCAATTCTGTACATCACGTCAACCTGTATTGAGATATAGGAGCATATATCAGACTTAAATCTTGAAAACTAAACACATATAACTCCAGAAATATGAAGGCATCCGACGAGACTCTTAAACACTTTCGAAACGTATATTAGTTTGCTTGGTTGATTCATTCTCATTCATGCTTCGTAACATTCGGTTTGGTCGTAAACGGTCACATACTCTTCTTTGATTTAGTTCGGTGCTTCACATCGTTTTCTCATTATAAATACGCGACTTAATATTTTCCTTTTCAATTACTGGTTGTCATTTTTTCGTCATTATAAATATGAAAGGTAGTACTTTTCTTTGCAATCAATGCCTGCAATCTTATCCTCATTAAAAATATATGACATTGTATTTTTCTTTTCAATCACTACTTGTCATTTTTTCATCATTATAAACATGCATCATTGTATTTTTCTTTTGATTTTGTGTCATACATCTTTTCCTCATTATATATATATATATTTATGTGTACGATGAATTAGTTTTGTTTTCATTCTATGCTTTTGATCTTTTCTTAGTAATTGCGAATGAGCAACATTTTCTCGCTGCTATTTTACTTAGGATTTTCATATGGAAACAAAAAATGTATACATGCTTCAAAAAGAATGACACTGTTGAAGATGTTCAAACTTTTGTGAAATAAGCTGTCTTTCAGTGAAGGTTGATTGTGTGAATGTTCTGTGAAAACAAACCATCGTTTTCCTTTCGTGTCATTTGCACCGTCATACAATCGCCTCTTTTTACTTTGTGCAATGCTTTTATAGAGACCTGAATAATCGACGTTCATTTTTCTAACACCGTTCTATTTCTTTCGATGGATTTCACATAGAAACTGGTAAAAGTGATGTCAGAACGGTGAATAAAACTTATCTAAAGCTTTATTAATTGTGGATGTGGTTTTACCAGTTTTTGATGAAGATACTATTTTTTTCTTTCATTCATTAGTTTGATTCACGTAACAAAAATGGGTTTAAATTCAAAATTTTTTATTTGCATACTCATCACGATTCTATACGCTGTAAGTAGTTTAGAAGTGATCAAGATTGCTACTTTTGCTCCTCGATCAAGTCCCTGGGGCCAGGTATTGAATGTCTGGGCGACAGCTGTCGCGGAAAGGAGTAACGGTAGATTGGAAATCCAATGTTTCTACAGCAGTATTCAAGGTGATGAAGGTGATATGGTCCGCAAGATGAAAATTGGTCAATTGGATGGAGCACTTCTCACAGCAGTTGGTTTAGGTCGCATTTACACACCAATCCTAGCTCTACAAATGCCTGGACTCTTTAAAACCTGGAGCAAACTGAACACTGCACGTCAAGTGATGGATTCAGAGTTCCAACAAGGAATGAACAATGCAGGCTTCACCTTCTTTGGTTGGAGCGACTTTGGAGCTGTACATCTATTTTCCAAGGGATTTAACGTGAAGACACCAAACGATGTAAAAGGCAAGAAACTTTTCATCGACATGAACAACCCTATCGAGCGTGTTTTATATCAAGTCATTGGTAATTTCACACCTGTATCAATTAGTATTTCTGCGGTCCTTCCACAACTTAATGTGGGTTCAATTGATATTATTAACGCACCATCACTTGTGGCTGAACAGCTGCAATGGTCTTCTAAATTCGATACAATCAATATGGATGTGAATTCCTTAGTTACCGGAGGTTTGGTCATAGCATCGAGAAGATTCAATGCATTGCCAGCTGACCTTCGTGCAATCCTTCTGGATACAGGCGGAGTGGCCACCAACGCTCTCAAAAAACGTATTCAAGATGACGATAATAGTGCATTCTCCCGCATGCAAAGCAGGATGAAAGTAGTTTCGCTCAAGGCTGACGAGCTATTACAATGGAACACGACATATAGAGAACTGCGTCGAATTTTGGCGCAGGGTGTTTTCTCTGCCAGTCTGGTCGCCAGAATCGAGCAACTAGCCCATTAGCATCGATTAATTGATCTATTTCGGAAAATAAGAAAGAAATCAAGAATAATTTCATTGTCAACAGCTTAAATCAGTTCTGTGTAAAATGCTACCAAGAGAAACTTGAAATATTTAACCAATAAAATACACAGAAAGAAAAAAGAAGAACATTTCACTTTCCTGTATCTGATGATATAGAATGTTTTTTCAAAGCAGTGGTGTAACTCTGGTATCCTCTCTATAACTAGTATCAACTATTAATTTCGAGAAAAGACAACCTAAATTTCGAGATCTTTCGCTCATTTGTTTGAGTTCCACGTACATACTAACTAATCACATACCAGACGCGGAGTTCGACACATGCACAATGTAGGAGTATGGAATTGGAATGAGCGAAGCACTCACTATATCAGAGATCTTGTATTTGACTTTTCTCAAAATAAACAATACTCAAGTAGTGACTAATAGTTGAAAATTTTTAACGAAGAATTGCTCTACAACACTTGATGCATTATTGGTTATG